CCTACCTGAGCAGCAGGCCTATCTTTTTTTTTTTTTTAAGATTTATTTATTTATTTATGCAGAGAAGAACTAGGGTGCAAACCAGAGGTGCAGGGGGTGAGAATATTCACCAGAGACAGTGTGTGGAACAAAACAGGCAGGTTTTCTGAAATACACTGCTGAGGGGAGCAGTGGGTGAGACAGGAGAGGTCTGCTGCGCCTTGTGGGTCAGCTCCCGGGCAGGGATTCAACTCAGGCCTTTGTGGTAATAGCACTGAGATTTAACCCCTAAGTTCACAGGTGCGGAAGAGGCCCAGGCCTTTCCTTGAAAGGAACGCATCTATGTCTTCCACCTTTGCCCTCTGAATTTAGCGGACTCAACCAAGGGAAGGCATCCACTGGAAATTAGTGGGAGGGAGGAACAAGGACTTAGAGTGTTTATTTCCTGTGCTATCTTCCTGGGAGGCTGTTGGTCACTGTTTCTCTGCCAAGTTATGGTCCTGCTAGGCCACCTCTCTCCCATGGCTATCACTTATTCTGGGTCCATTAGCACCTTCCTTGCCACACCTGGTGTGGTAACAGCTCTCTGTTGGTCTCCCCTTGACGTTTCACTATTAATTCCCTTAGCCCTACCTCTACTTTTTGAATTAGATCCTTTATTAGCTACTCTTTAGTTAAATCCATGCAGGATATCATTTCTTTCCTGCTAGGATCTGATTGGACCAGTAATCAAGAGATTTTCTTCTCCATGTTGGTTCTTACTTGTCTCAATTCTATGCAATATCTGACATCCTCTGCAAATCATTTAAAAAATATGTTTTTATTAAGCCCATGTCTGTAAGGTAAGGAATTCAATGTAGAGTAGCATGCAGTTTTTTATTTCTTATTTCAGTAAACTATAAACTTCTGTTCATATAGGGAGGAAACAATTTGGACCTTAGTTATGTTCCATAGAAAGAGACCCTAAGATAAGGGATGTGCAAGTGATTAATGAAAAAAGAGTTGCAAAGAGAATAGTAAGGGAATCTGAAAGCAGGACAGGGAGGAGGAAGAAATCAAAGCTGGTATAAGATTTAGGCGAAGTCCTAAAGAGGGTAGCCTGATCTGACCCTGCAGAGGAGCTCTGGAGTAGAATTTATACTTCTAAATTTTTTGGGTGTGGAGACAGTTATTAGCTAAGTAATGCTCCAGGAGAAAACCTCTGGTCAGTTCTCCAAGGAAAAAGTACAGGTGGAGGTTACTGGAGGCAAAATTTGACACTTGGGAGTGATGCAGAGAATTGGTAAGAAGGAATTGAGGCATGATATCAAGGTGGCAGAACAGGAAGTACCAGTCTTTATTATGGAAATACTGAACAAATAATAAAAAGAAAGTAGTTTTGTAAGCACTCTAGAACACACTCAAGAAGCTGCACAATCACTAACACTTAACCATGAAAAGCTACATTTAAAACAGTGGAAAAGTACTTGGTGTTTTGCTTACTATTGTACCATCACTATTGATGGTTGGCAGAAAGTTGCCCCATTCTTGGTTCTTTCTTTAAAATAGTAGGAAAGAATGGAACTTGCTTGCAATATTCTGACTTGTTGGAACACTGATGGGAAGGGCCACATAGTTTCATAGTTTGCTTTCAGGGGCCTCCAACCTGATGTCCAGTGGTAGGTACTCCTGTGTGAGAAGTGCAGGGAGCAACCCCATAAACATAAGACTACTGGGTGTCAGATTGTGGACAAGGGAACACATAAGAAGCAGGGGAGAGACTCTCAGGGAAGTTAAGACATTTAAAGGCAACCATGTGTGTAGGGTAATGGACTAAGTAAGAACAGATAAGTTGAGGGAAACATCAACAGAAAGTGTGAGAGAAAGCTAAGCCTTGATTTTGGACTGACTTTAATAAGTTCTTCCCTTGCAAGGACATCTACAAAGACTGGGAGAAGTGAATTTTTTCAAATGCCCAATTTTCAACAAAAGATCATAGAGGTCATGAAGAAACACTTAAAGAAACAAAACAAGCCTCTAGGAACTAAGGAAATACAGGCCTGAAGACTTCAAAACCACCATCTTAAATATGCTTAGTGAGCTAAAGAAAAACATAGAAAACCACACGACATCAGGAAAATGATACATGGATGAAATGAAAGTATCAGATAAAACAACCAAACAAACTCTGGAACTGAAAATACAATTACTGAGGTGAAAAATCTACTAGAGAAATTCAACCACACCCTCTACAGGCAGAAGAAAGAATCAGTGAATTTGAAGACAAGTTGGATTGGATTGGGGTCAAAATAAGGGGGTTGCAATTGTATGGGGAATATAAAAATAAAAAGATTAAGAAAAAAAGAAATTATTGAAACTGAGGAATAAAAAAGATAAAGAGAACAGAGCCTAAGGATTGTGGAGTAATGTTGAGTAGGCTCAGAGAGGCATTATGGGCATCCCACGAGAAAAAAAGGGACACAATTTGTTTGTGGTGATGATGGCCTAAAACTCCCCAAATTGAGGAAAGAAATGTACGAATACAAGAAGTTCAACAAATACAGGAAGCTCGACAAACTCCAAGTAAGGTAAGACCCACACTGAAACATCAAATTGCTGAAAGCCAAAGACAGAGACTCTTGAAAATAGTGAAAAGTGACTAAAATCTGGAAACAACCCATATGCACAAAAATAGATCAAGATGGGATCTTGTCAGGATCAAGAAGATGTGGTATATATACACATTGGAATACTATTCAGCAATCAAAAAAGATAAATTCACGCCATTTGCAGCAATGTGAATGGAGCTAGAGGGAATTATGTTCAGTGAAATAAGCCAGAAGGAGAAATATATCAGATGGTTTCACTTATAACAGGAATATAGGGGAATCAAATAAAACATCAGTGTAAAAATAATAGCAGTAGAAAACACAACAAAGCCAAAACAGACAATTAGAAATCAGAGACATACTGCAGGGGACTTGGGGAGGGATGGGGGGCGGGGAAAGAAGAACAAGGGACTGTGGTGATGGTGCACAGGTGCATTGGGGAAGGAAATTGTATGGGGACTCAACCTGAGTGGTTGGGGGGAAGCAAATAATGTTTAAAAATGATCTTGATGTAAAAAGAAAATAGCATTAAAATAAATAAATAAAATTTTAAAAGAGGAAAAAAAAAAGAAAAGATTACCAGTGTATTTCTTGCCCAGAAGTCTTACAGGCCAGAAGACTATGGGATGACGTGTTCAAAGTGCTACATCTGGCAAGTTATCTGAAAATGTATGAATTCCTTATTTTTTAGAGTAAACAAAAGCTGAGAGGTCATGCTGTCTAGACTTATACAGAAACACCAAAATGAGCCTTTCAAGTTGAAAGGAAAGGATGCTAAGTAGCTCAGAGCCAATAAAAATATAAAATTATCTGCTAAAGATAAATAAAAGGACAAAAAACCATGTACTATTGAAACTGTTAGCTCATAATTACTTTTAATTGTTTTAAAAGATTTAAAAAGCAGGATAGAAATTAGATCCATCTTCATTGGCACACAATAAAGATGTCTTTGTGATATAAAATATGGGAGGTAGAACTATAAAGTAGCTTTTATATTCAACTAAAGTTGTCAGTTTGAAATAAATTTTGTTATAGTTTAGGTTGTTTCATGTAATTTCTATAGTATTCTCAAAAAATAGAGTCTACACAGAAAGAAATAGGAGCACAAGACACAAAGGCAGGCCATCATGGAGGAAATGGACAAAAAAGCATTTAGAAATAAATGAAAATGACAATAAAATCATGTGCCACATAATGATGTTCTTGTCAAGAATGCACTATATATGACAGTGGTCCCCAAATTCCTATCACCTAGTAATGTTGTAGCACAGACAGTCAGTATACAGCAGAACAGTAAGGTGTCACAAAGGGCCAGCTTCTTTTCCTTTGCCCTTCTCAAATGCTGTGCCAGCAAAATGGAAAAGTACTGGTCAGAGAATAACACTAATGTTCATGACCCATGTCTCAAAATGTATCCTCATTAATGATTATATAAGTCCTTCCCTATCAGTAGTTAATTTAAATGCAAATGGATTAAACTACTTGGTGAAAAGACAGATTGGCAGGATGAATGAGAACATAGGATCCAACTATACACTGTCTACAACAAACTATTTTACCTTCACTGAATCCTTGGATGTTCTACCTTTTATATAGATCTGAGTTTCTGACCTATATTTTTCTTCTCTCTAAAGAACTTAGAAAAAAAAAAAGCTTACAGCTTTATGTCAATTGTACCTCAATAAAACTAAAAAGGAAATGTTGGGACTCCATATAGTCTTTTAAAGCTTAGGAGAAAAATAATTTAAAATGATGGCAGTGCTGCCAATCACCCAGGGCTTATTCCTCTCCCACAGAAGTCTTATGAGGTTCTCTGGGGGAAGGTTCATCCCCTCCCCTTCTTGTAGACCATCCCTGCTAAATTGTCTGCAGGAAGCAGTTCAGTGGCTCTCCTTGCTGGCTTGCCTGGACAAGCCTCCAGATGCCATTGAGGGCCTCTGGCAGATCATTCTACTTGCCTCATCCCAGGCCCAAGACAGACATCTGACTTGATTTCCAGTTCTTGAAGTTGGTCTTAGAATCTGTCCATCTATCTATTTCCAGAGTGACTGCTTTAGGATCACCAAGGACATCCAGGAGTATGAGGAACCTATAAGCTTCTGGACAAAATTCTGGCATGACAAAGAACAATGGTGACGTCTCCCCATTTCAGCCACCTTCTTAGATTAATGGCTCTAAAGCACATTACAGTTCTTTTTAAATTCTCAGTGTGATATTTCTAACATCCATGCTATGTCTGGTCCCAGTGCTTGCATTGTTTCTTGAAGGCAATGAAATTATGTTAGCAAACATGTTTTTGTATGTAGTAAACCCTAAACAGTCAAAACAAAAACCTGTCAGAATGAGTTCAATTGCAGGATACAAAATCACCACCAAAAATTTGTTGTTGTTCTATATGCTAACAATGAACAATCTGAAAAGTTCGGAAAACAATTTTATTTACAGTAGCATCAATAAAATATGTAGAAATAAACTTAATCAAGGGGGCAACAGACTTGTTAATTGGAAATGCTGCTGAAATTGTGTTGTGTTTTTTTTTTTTTCCCATTTTGGTACAGTTGACATATAACAGTTTAGTTTCACGTAAACAATATAATTCAACATTAGTATATATTGTAAAACAGTCACTTTTTTTCTTGATAAACATGAGGTATCAGGTAAAAGGAAATGCTATACATAGCCATTTAGTGATGTGGTTTTAAGGGAGGATGAACATTCTATACTGCTATGATTAACTCTTTCCATGGGCCTCTGGACTGAATTTTGCAAATGATTCTCAGATTTTTTTCCTTCTTTTAGGTGGAACAATTTGACTAGAATGGGCTGGAATTGGGTATTTCCGTTCCCCAGGTCAGTTAGGTTCTAATAATACACCAGCGGCCGATTTTAGTTTTCAGGGCCCTCCTTCAGGGGAAACTAGTTAAGAATAACAGAACAAAATGCTCTGGCCATGTTTCAAGATCATTCCTTTCCCCCCTTTCACTGTGGGAAGTCTAAGGGAATTTTTCTCCAATATTTATTGTGGAAATCTGGTTAAGCTTACATAGGTTTATCTCACAATACCGATTCCCCCTGTATTTTCTTTTTTAAACTTCGGTTTTCCGTACAAGCTCCAGTAATTCAACAACAGTCAAGGTTTTCCTGTTCAGCACTGGTTCCCAATTTCTGCTTATGAGTCTGGCTCTATCTGCCTGTCTTTCCAATCTTGGGGCAACAGTGCTTTCTTTCTTCTGGTACCTTATGAAGCCAAGAAAAGTTGCTTATTTTTCAGTCTGTTATAAAAAACAAGAAGGACATTATACATTAAAGGGTCAATTCACTAAGAAAATCTAATAATCATAAACATATGTACCAAGCATCAGAACTGTGAAATATAAAAGGTAAACATTGACAGAATTGAAGGGAGCAATAGACAGCTCAATAGTAATAGGTATACTAGTATTTCACTTTCATAGAAAAGACAACCAAGAAAACAGAACTTTAACATGATTGACCGATTGTTCCCAATCAACACACAAAACTTTCTACTGAAATTAAAGATAAGACACTTTTCTGAAGTTCATAAAGCACATTCCCCATGACAGACCATATGGTGAATACAAAAAAAAAAAGACTTAATAAATTGGAAAGTGATGAAATCATGCAAAGTATCCTATCTCAATATGGTGAAATTAGAAAACAACAAAGGAAAACTTGAAGACCACAATACATGGAAATTAGACAGTGTGATCTTAATCAATGGATTGAAGAAGAAATCACAAGTAAGGCAATATCTGAAAACAAAGGGAATGTGCAGAGGGAATTTTTAGCTGTAATTGTGTAAATTATGAAAGATTTCAAACAATTTAACTTTACCCTTTAGCTTTTTACTATTTTTATTGTCCTGTAAACCTAAAGCTAGCACAAGGAAGGAAATAAAGATTAGAGCAGAGATAAAAATAAAGAAATCAATGGAACCAGAGTTGGTTCTTTGAAATTACCAACAAAATTGGCAAACCTTTAACTAGGTTGACTAGGAAAAGACTCACTAAAATCAGAAATGAAAGAGGGGACATTATAATTGTTATAAAATTTCTTGTAAGAGAATAAATGACCAGTTATTATTAAAATAAAATAGTCTAGATGAAACAGATAAAGTCCTAGAAACACACACCAAAAATCATTTAATCATGAAGAAACAGAAAATCTGAAGAGACCTATAATTGATAGGATTAAATCAGGTATCAAAAACCTCCCAAAGAAATGTCCAGGAACAGATAACTTTATGGGTGAATTCTTTTATTTTTTTAATATTTATTTATTTATACATACAAGAACTTGAGTACAGGCCAGAGGTGTGGGGGGTGAGAGGATTCACCAGAGACAGAGTGGGGAACAGAATGGGCAGATCTACTGAAATACACTGCTGAGGGGAGCATTGGGTGAAACAGGAGAGGTCTGCTGCACCATGTGGGTTAGCTTCCTGGCCAGGGATCAAACTCATATTGCAGTGACTGGCAATAGCTTGATAATGCTATATCTTTAGCCCCTGAGTGACCAGGCCCTCATCAGTGAAGTCTATCAATCATTTAAAGAATGAACACCAGGGCCTCCCCAGTGATGCAGCAGTTGAGCGCTGGGTTGCGAAGCTGCCCATAGCCTCTGCAGCGCAGGTTCGATCCCCGGCTGCTCCCCAGCCACCGGAGGAGGGTCCCACATGGCGCACAGACCTCTCCTACTGCCCGCTGCTCTCCTCAGCAGTGTACTTTGGTCCTTCTGCCTGCTCTGCTCCCCGCTCTGACTCTGGTGAATTCTCTCACCCTCCTGCGCTTCTGACTGTACCCAGTGCTTGTATGTATAAATAACTCTTAAAAAAAAAAAAAAAAAAAAAAAAGAATGAACACCAATTCTCCTCAGACTCTACCAACATGTCCCATCGCCTTCTGTAAGACCAGCATTACTACAAGAAAACCATGTTTTTCTTGTATTAGCAATAACTATTGATGAAAATATGCTCAACAAAACATAAATTGATACTAGCAAACTATTCATCAACACATTAGTGGGGTTGTATACCATTACCAAGTGGGATTTATTCCTGGAATTCAAGAATGATTCAGCATATGAAAATCAGTGTTCTACACCATCAGAATAAAGAGAGATCACACAATCTTCTCAACTGATGCAAAAAAAATGACAAAATTCAATATCCTTTCATGATAAACAGTCATCAAATTAGAAACACAAGGAAATTTTCAACATAAAGGACACTTGTGAAAACTCACAGCTAGCATTACACTCAATTGTGAAAGACTAAAAGCTTTTCCTTTAAGTTCAACCAAACAAGGATGTCTGCTTTTGTCATTTTCTGTAACATATTACTAAAATTCGTAGAGAATTAGGGAAGAAAAAAATAAAAGAATCCAAGTTGGAATAAAACTATATCATTAAACATGATCTTATATGTGGAAAACCTTAAAGATGCCAAACAAAATCTTGTTACAATGAATCTGGTTGCAGGATACAAAATCAACACCCCAAATCAGTTATATTTCTATATACTGACAAAGAACAATCTGAAAAGTTAACAATTTCATGCAGCTCTCCTGCCCACCTGTGACTATGCAGGTGCCTCTCTAATAAACCTGTCCTTTTAAAATTCAAAAAAAAAAAAATCCCATTTACTATATGTAGGGATAAATTTAATCAAGGAGACAAAAGACTTGTAAACTGGAAATGCTGCTGAAAGAAATAAGACAAATAAATGGAAAAACATTCATGTTTATAGAATGAAGATTAATATTAACACATTAAAACATAAATTGATACAGATTTCATGTAATGCCGATAAAAGTCTCAATGGTGCTTTTTGTAGAAATGAAAAACCAAAATTCATATGAGAACTTAAGGGACCTTGAATAACCAAAATAATCTTGAAAAACCAAAATAAAGTTGGAGGTCTCACATTTTGTGATTTCAAAACTTATTACAAAATCACAGTATTCAAGATAGACTTGTAGGCAAAAGACGCACATTTAAACCATAGGAATCAGAGAGCCCAGTAACAAACCTTTGCATAGTGAAATGATTGACATGGCGTCAAAATCATTCAGTGGGGAAAAAACCAGCAAATGTTGCTGGGGAAACTGGATGTCAACATACAAATGAAGTGAGAACCTAACTTTATTAAGCAAATAACACAAAAAGCATCAAAGACCTAAATATCAATAGAGCTAAGAAACAGTGAAATTCTTAGAACCTCTGGGGAAAGCTTTATAACACTGGATATGGTAATAACTAACTGGATTTAATAATATGACCTTTCAGAATTAAGAGATGGGGTCACGAGATCGCTTAGAAGGCTCTGGACTCATACTATACTACTGCTATCCCCCTTAGGGAAAAGAAATATCTTGGAAAAGTAGAAGGAGGTCCCTGGAATAGGATTCCTGAGAGAAAGGAAATTTCTGACTGATAGTCCAGCCTCAAACTAACATATGATTGATCCTCGATGTTCCCTTTGTGCCAGAACATGTGGAATCAGTGGCTGAGCACATGTATGTACTAATTTCGAAAAACAGTAACTGATATTCCAACAGGGGTCCCATTACTGCTTTGACTGGAATTGGATAAGTGTACTAGAGAGGTATCCAGGATGGTCACAAGAGCTCCATCTGTGGAAATAAGAAATAGCGGGAGTGGACAGGACAGACCTTTCTTCATAAGGCCAAACAGCCCCAGGGCTCTCAGACATATTTTCTTGACTTTTTGAACAAATTATTGATAAGATCCATTTTAAGGTACATAAATAGACAAAATACAGAATATAAAGCTATATTCAGTAATTAGTATTACTAATCAGCCACCAGTTTCCCCTCAGGCTTGTCAAATAAACTTAACTCTAGCACTGGGGAAACCGGATATCAATTTCTATATCAATTGATAAACTGGATATCAATCAATCAAACTGGAAGGACATTGAGCCCCTTCTCAGTGGAGTCCCAACTACCGCTCCTGGTTTCCTTGAAAACCTGTCACACTCCATGGCACTAGCTTCTAGACACCATGTTCCCCTCACTTCTCTGGACATTAACATTTCACCAAACACTATCTTTTCTTCCCTTCTATTTGACTCAAGTTCCAGAGTACTAGATTAAAATCTGAATTAGTACTATAGTTAAATATTCCCTGTTTATATCTCATGCTTGGCCATCACTTCAGTCCAAGAGACCTCTGATATTGATTCCTTTGCCCCTTCCTCTCTCTCCCACCCCAACTAATATCTTCAATTATTTGCTATTATTTTCCTGAAATGGTATTATGATAATCAGTTCTTAATCTTAAAAAGAAGACAGAATTGGATAGCAGTCCAAAGAACAGACTTTGATTTGAGACAATTGAAGGGGATTAGAATACAGAATACATGCCAGTTGGCACACTGATTACTTTGAGCTGAAGGCAATTGAGATAAAGATGCAGGGAAGGACTCTGATTTTCTCCTTTCTACTTAGAAGCAGGAGATAAAATTTTGAGTGAGAAAGGTACCCTCCTTCTGTGCCAGGAAGAATACACTCTTATCATTGGAGATAGTGGCGCAAATATTCTTGTCTCCAAACATATCCTTTGTTAAAATAGTTTATAAATAAGAAAATTTGAAATATGGTATATAAACTTTCCAGTCCATCTGTTTCTTTGGGTCTTCATTTCCTATGATCTCTAGGTACCTGTAAAATTATCATCAAAGTTTATGTGCTTCCCCCTGTAAATTTAGCTTTTGTCAGTTTAGTGTTCAGCTCCAATCATGTAAATCAAAAGATTCAGGAAAGAACAGGGGTTTCACAATCCTGGCTGTGCCTGTTATGAACTGCTATATATAGTGAGGATTTGGGGCAAATCAACTGCTGAACTTCTCTCCTCAGTTGTAGAGGATTGAAAGTGTTCATGTCAAGAACATAGAGCTCTCAAGAGATCTTAGAGCAGTCCACTGATAACCTGAGTCCTGGAGTATTTTCAAAAACAGAATTATCATATTCTACTTTCTTAAGAGTCAAATCTCACAGTAAACTGAAACATTTTTAGTGACTCATCTTACATTCATTCTCCCCACTGAAGCTCTCTGTAGGAGATGGCGCCTCCCTAAACTCTGATCAGCCTCCAAGCAAACTTACTCCTACTCTTCCCACTATTTTTTTCCTTCTTAACTTCTGCAATAATTTTCCTCTCCAGGCAGTGAAGTCACTCTTTCCACTGCAAACATAGCTTCCCCAATTCTCATGCATTCCTCTGACTGATT